GACGGTACACTGGAATTTGTAGATGACTTTTTGTCCATTGCAAATAAAGATGGAGAATAACCCGCAACAATCATAATTTGATCACCAGCATGTCTCTGATTTTGTACTGCATCAACTAAGCTATTGATGATCGCCGAACCAAAAGTAGTAGGAACCAAATCTCCAACATCTCGAAAATATATTATTTTGGGTGGTGATGGTAAATTTGAAGAGGTAGATGTAGATTCAGCACAAGTAGGAGAAGAGGATACCAAAGCTTCAAAAAATTTATCAACTTTCTCAATAATCACTTTCAATTCTGTGCGTAAAGATCCATTAGATTGAGTAGAATTATATTGAAAATTGTCAACCAATGTTTTATTATCAAAATTAGAATTTCGTGAAACTGTAGGTGACGATTCGAAACCTTCTTCTTCTTCTATAAACACATCGTCATCCATTTCATCTTCGGAGGAAAACGATGATGTTGTGGAATATGGTGAGGCGGCAATATATGGGTTGAATCCTTTCAATTCAGGAAACAATGGCCATGGTGTGACTATAAAAGCAAAAATTTTTTTGTATTGTCAAAAAATACCTACTCATTGTCATTTTTTATTATTACAACAATTTCCTCATCAAAAATTAACATTAAATAATAAAGAATATCTCACCATTACCCTTACGTGAAAACATGCTTGCAGTTAACTCCATAAGATCCTGTCTATCAAATGTCAACAGATCGGCTTGTAGAGAAGCAGCAACACTTTTAACAACCGCGTCCAAATAAAATGATGCACCTTCTATTGGACAATTCAACAATAAATGGCCTCTCCGTGCAGGCACTGTATCACTCCTTGGTAATGGTAATAGATTAGCACGTGCACTGTATATGATTTCATCACGAATACCGTCTTCCAGAGGATAAGACATTTTATCAAATGAATGAGTGTTATCTTTGTAACAAAGATAATTTTCTTTTAAAAATAACTGTGGTATCACTGGTTTATACTGGTTTATTGGTTTGGACGCTCGAGATCGTAGACGCGTCGTGCTTCGTTTACGTCTCGGTGATCTCAAAAGAAGCTCTCCAACATTTTCTGTTGGACTATTCTCAGAAGGCTGTGAATGAGATTCTTCAGTTGCCTGTCTATTATTCTCAGTTTCCTCACTAGCGACAGTAGATGCAGGTATCTCTTTCGCAGTGTTTGAAGAATCAGAATTAGTTTTGTTATTATCTTGAACTGGTTTTAATGGTGGGGTGTTTCCATTAGAAGAATCGTTTGGTTGATTCGAAACATTTCTTATTAAACTGGTTTTTGAAAAAGTTGGTACAAATTTATGATGCTTAAGGTTGTAAATAGATCCATGCTTGCAAAAGTTAAAACCAAAGCGACTTGTCCTTACTGCTAAATTTCTATACATTTTTCTATATAAAAATCTATTTTTAAAAATTTTGGCTTCTGTACTACAATCTGGATTTTAGATCAATTTTAATTATCCTAAAAGAAAAAACTAACAATGGATTATAACAAGAAAAGGATGGCAGATATTGATCCTGTATATGATAGTGATTCTTCTACTGAAAATGCAAGTAATGACATTTGGAGATTTTTATTATTTTCTTGAGCATATTGATTAATTGGTTAATTAATTTTATTCAATTCAATTAGCCAGTCAATACTGTTGGTAATATACCTATGGAATGGTATGATGATTATCCACACATCGGTTATGATATTGGTGGGGAAAAAATTATGAAACCTGCTAGAGGTGATGAATTGGATAACTTTTTGGATAATATGGAAGACCCTGATACATGGTAAAAGATTATTTTGCATTTGATTTTTATTTTTTATTTTTAATTAATACGTTGATGTATTTTTCTAAATAAAAAAAGGTTATCTGTCAAAGATGTTTTATCACAACAAGATGTTAAATTGACTGATGAGGAGTTGGAGATTATTCGTCGAATTCAAATGGGCGAATTTCCAGACCCCAATTATGATCCATATGAACCAACTGTAGAATGGTTTACCAGTAAACCTGAAATAATGCCTTTAAGTGCAACTCCAGAGCCCAAAAGACGGTTTGTTCCTTCAAAATGGGAAGCAAAACGTGTAAGTTGTACATTTTATGTGATTATTTGTCATTAAATAAACAATAAGTGAATCAAAAAAAAAATTTTTTTTTGAAATCTTTCTTTTATTTGTTTATACAGATCATGAAAATAGTACGTGCCATTCGTCAAGGACGTATAGTTCCAGGGAAAACACCAGTTCAAAAGCCTCGTTTTTATGACTTGTGGAACGATAATGATAAACCACGTGAAGACCATCCAATGCATCTTCCTGCACCCAAAACACAATTACCTGAACATGATGAAAGTTATAATCCACCAGCCGAATATTTGTTGTCAGAAAAAGAAAGGGAGATTTGGAATAATACTGACGCAGATGATAGGGAGAAAAATTATATGCCCCAAAAGTATTTTTTTTTGACAAATAAATACTTAAAAAATTTATCATTCGCATATATTTTTAATTACTTTATTATAATTATATTTCAGATATCAAAACCTTAGATCTGTTCCTTCTTACAATCGGTTCATCCAAGAAAGATTCAATAGATGTCTTGATTTATATTTAGCTCCACGTATGAGAAGGAATAAGGTACTTTGTTTTTATGTGATGATTATTGTTAAAACGTTTTGCTAACTATAATGCTTTTATTAGCTTAATATCGATCCAGAGTCATTAATTCCAAAACTTCCAAATCCTAAAGATTTGCAACCATTCCCAAAATCATTAACCATTTCTTATGATGCTCATACTGGATATGTACGTACGTTTTCAATTGATCCAACAGGATTATGGATGGTTTCAGGTTCAGATGATAAAACTGTTAGGGTATGGGAAATAATTACAGGTCGTTGTGTCAAAATATGGCATTTAGAAGATGTTGTACATTCAGTTGCATGGTGCCCTAATAAAGATATTAAATGTTTAGCGGTATCATAGTGAGTTATTGATTTATGTTTTAAAAAAATCAAAATCGCCTCTCAACTTATTTTACATATATTTGTATTACTATAATTTTCTATTAAAGTACAAGCAAAATTTTGATTATTTCACCAACTGACATCTTTGACAAAGAAACAACAGAATTTACTGTCAAAAGTATTATATTGGGATTTGATAGTCTTCAACAAAACGGTATGTTGTTTTATTCCGATTATGTTATTTATAAATTTAAAGTTGATCTGATTTTAAAATATTGAATAGATGAAAAAAGGAACATTGTTGAATGGATTAAACCAGCTGAAAAAAATCATAATAAGGAATTTCTGGCAATTATCCATCATTCGCACAACAAGGTTTGAAAATAATAATAATAATAATAATAATAATTGAATCAATTTATAATTTAATAAAACCTTTATATTTGTTCTTGTAAAAATTATATAACAGACCATAAAACAGATTAATTGGCATCGTAAAGGAGATTATTTTTTCTCTGTGGCACCAGATGGTATGTGTCTTTACTTTTATATTTAATAATTTTAATAATTATAGATAATAAAAACCAATTATTATTGGCAATTCTAGCTGGAAATCAGGGTGTCATTATTCATCATCTTTCAAAACATCAAAGTCAGCAACCATTCCAAAAAATTAAAGGAATAGTTCAATGTGCGTCTTTTCATCCAATTAAACCATTGTTTCTTATAGCGGTATGTTAATTCTTCTCAAAGTCCTTGAGTTTAATTATTCTATATTTTATAACAAATAATTGAATTCTTATTATATCGTAGACCCAAAGATTTGTTCGAGTTTATGATTTATTGAAACAGGAATTAATCAAATCATTACAATCTGACTCGAAATGGATATCAAGTTTAGATATTCATCCAATGGGTAAGGTTATTATTATTAATTTATAAAAGGAAAATAAATTATTAATACAAAAATTTAATGTATTTCCACATACAGGAGATAATCTAATTGTTGGAAGTTATGATAAACGTTTGTGTTGGTTCGATTTAGATCTTTCTTCAAGACCCTACAAGACCTTAAGGCATATTATATATATATTGCATTTACTTTTTTTAAAAACAAAATAGATTGTTTACGATTTTTTTTTTTTTTAGGTTTCATTCAAAGGCCATTCGTAATGTAACTTTTCATAAACGATTGCCACTTTTTGCTTCATGTAGCGATGATGGTACTATTCAAATTTTTCATGGAATGGTATATAATGATTTACTCCAAAACCCATTGATCGTACCAGTAAAAATTTTAAAAAACGGACATCAAACGGTTAACAATTTAGGTAAATTTTTCACAATTCTTCTACAAAAAAAAACGTATCATTGAAAAGTGATCTATTTAACTTTAAATTTGTGCTTTATTATGTCCAGGCGTTTTGTGTTGTGAATTTCATCCCACTCAGCCGTGGATAATATCTTCAGGAGCAGATCATTCATTAAAACTCTGGTCATGACCTAATTAACATGTAATTAGCACATAATGGAAATGGCAGAATGACGTTATTAATTTTCAGTATCTCAACAATTAAATAAATAAATAATTTATTTGGTCATCATTAATCATTATATCATTAATTAATAGGCATCAATCTATATTATTAATAATTTAATTTTGAAAAAAAAATGAAAAAATAATTTTTCTATAGAGAAAATTTTAATTTAAATGAAAATATTAATTTTTGAGACTATATAATGATAAATATCATAGCTTTAAAAATGATGATAGTGATAATGATAATAAATAATAATAAAAATATTAATAAAGAAATTAAAATTCAAAATTTTTTTGTTCAATCATTTATTGATAATAATGTATTTTTTTTTTTTTTGCATTGATGAAAATTATCCAAGTAAATCTATTTAAATTAAATCATACTTGTTGATATTGACATCGAAAAACCAAAAATTTAAAAAAGGCTTTCTCAATTAATAATTATTTAACATAATCATAACATAAAGCATTTAATTCAATTTATTCATTTTTAGGATCTTTGGTTTTTTCTTTTTCATTTGATTGATTGTCTTGGACATCTTCTGTATTCTCGGTTTTGTTGTTATTTTCATCACTAGATTCATCCTCCTTTTTTTTATCTTCCTCTCTATCAAATGTCTTCAAATCTCCGTTGTTTTCAAATATTTCAATTTTTTCCTCTGTTTTTTGCCTTTTTATGCCTTTAAGGCTTTCAACTTCATACTGAAGTTTTTTGATCATATCATCCTTCTCGTCATTTTCTCTTTGAAGCTCGACAATATGATCATGAGCTTTATTTTTAAAATGAAAAAATTCAATGAGAAAAATTCGTAATCTTAACAACATATGAAACATTCGTAATTAAATTCAAGACTAACCTCTTTTTAATAAAAATAATTTGCTAACATTTTTTGTTGTAGCATTAATATTTTCGCCGTTTTTACTATTATTTTTATCAACGTTAACACTGTCGCTGCTATTATTGTTATTGTTGCTGTTAGTATCGTTACTATTTCCTGATAAATTTAATGGGACAACTTTTTTTAATTCGTCAAAGCTTTTTTTTAATGAATCTCTTCTTTTCTGTTCGGCAGCTTTATGAGTTGTACGCCTAGACTCTAAACTTGAATGAACATCTGAAGAATAGGAGATTCCAAGGGATCTGAAAACAAATATTATTGATAAATTTATTAGAGCTGAAGATTTTAATAAATTATAGAAATTTATTTATATAATACGTACTGAGCAGTTCCTTCCAAAATACTACGATAATTTGATTTTTCAGCCAATTGTTCTGCAACCTCATCAGCTAGTACACCTGGCAATTTTGGTTTTAAATTTGGACTTATTGTTGGCTTAAGAGCTTGAGGGCTTTTAGAGTGGATAGAAGGCCCAAGTGCAATTGGTGATGCACAATTACGAACAATTTTCCTTCCAGGTGTAATGGATGATATAGGAGATATTGGTGAAGTAGTTGGAGAAATAACCATCATGGTCTGTGGACCCACATCACCATTTGTTACCATAACGCTTCTCATTTGAGTTAATGAGGACGAAAGTGGTGGTGGAGCAATATTTTTTATCGGCTTATTAATGGATTGTTCACTTTTACTTTGTTGGTCTTTTTGTTGATTTTTTGATCTTGAATTTTGACATTTTGGAAGTAAATTTTGCTTTTCATTATTAATAGTGATGTCATTATTGCTGTTGTTTTGTTGTTCTTTGGTTGATGTGGATGGTGTGGATGATAATTGCTTTGCTTTCAATTGCATGATCGATGATGGTGTAATTGGAGAAATATCATTTGAATTAGATGAAGAGTTGTTTGATAAAGAGGAGAGCGGAAGAATAGGTGATGTTGATTGTTCTGATACAAGATTCATACCCAAATTTAAATTAGGCATACTATCTTGAATACTCAATTGTGTTGAATTGATTAAATTGTTGTTTAACGGGGAAACAATTTTTCTTGAATCGTCGTTTTTAGGCATTAGGCATGGTGAGCCGGCCATAATACTAGATAAATTAGAATTATTGTTGTTACTTTTAACATTGTGATTGTTGTTATTAAAAAAAGAGGTTCCTCTCCCTTGTGTTTGACTTAAATTAGCATTGTGGCCATTCGGCTTGCTAATGGATTGAAACCTGGAGCTGTTGATTGTTTGATTGTATAATCTTGATTTTTGATTACCTCTTGTTGAATTATTTGTGTGAATATCTATTGGTTGATCTGGTGATAGAATTGGCGATGTTATTGGAGATAGAAGCTCTGGTGGAACGAAACAATAAACAAGCTGCTTGTAAGTAAGTTATTAAAAATATCATTAATTATATATTTTTCTAAAACAATAAAATCCATATTTAATAAAAAAATAGTATATATGAATATTTATTAGAGTATTTTTCTAACCTCATTATCATAATGACTATTAACCACCAAGCTACCAGAATTTGGCATCATACCAAAAGGCGACATAATAATAGATTCGACACAAACATTTCTATCTGAACCTTCTGGAGTTGCTAACATATTATTTGATAACGAAAAGGTGGTATTAGCCATAGATTGAGCAAAATTATGGTTTTGAGGGGAAATACTCGACGATAATAATGTTGAGCTTGGCTGTGAATATGATGAATTTTCGGGGATGTTGTTTCCATTATTTGAATCTTGATTTTGTGTTTGGGTATCAAGCTGCATGAAATTAAATTGTTCATAATAAAGATCCATTTCATTAGAACTAGAGGTGTTAAAATTTGAAAAAGACTCCATTTACACAAATTAGATGTTTTAATTAGTAATATACATATAAATTATTAATTCTTTTTTTTTAAAGAAAATTTTCATACATAGAAGTTACACAAGAAATAAAATTCTTTTTTAAAAATGTCTTATGTAAGATCTACACCAAGGAAAAAAGTTTCAGCACCAATCGGGAAATCATTAGATACTCAAGAAACAATACAAAAACCAAAAATTAAATTAGACAAGTGGGATCGTTTACAAGAATTAAAAAGACGTAGAGAAGAAATAAAACAATATGGTGACAGTTCTGATGAGAAAAGAAATAAAAAACCTAGAGGTAAATAAAATAATTGCGATTTTTTTATTGATCTAAAAAAATTTAATTAATTATTAAATTTAATTCGTTATGGTCATGTTGATAGAGGGTGATCGATTACAGGATGAGAAATTGTTAAAAAAAAATAGCAACGTTGATAAATCAAAGCCCATAGTATCGATATCACCAGCAGAAGATTTTAAACCATTAAAACCATCACCATTACCAAAGAGTTTACATAAATATGTACATTTGAATTCACATTTGAAGGGCGTTGATCACGGTCGACTAAACGCAAAAGTAACTATTATTAGAGAAATTTTTAAAAAATAACTTATTGATCAATAGAAAAAAAAATTTTTTTTTCATAGGGACCTTTAGAGCATGAATTGGACAAAGCTGTAGAGAATGGAGATTTAGTTCTTGCGACAAAAATAAGTGATCAAATTGCACAAAAAAATTATGAAACTATAGTTTCTGAAGCAATTGAAAGAAAAGAATACAACGAGGCAAAGGAGGTAGCAATATAATATTATATTATTGAATAAAATTATTTATTAATATTTTAATATTTAATTATTGAAATTTAACAATGTAATTTTACATTTAGAGAGAAGAAGCATTCAAAGCTAAAAAAAAGAAACCGAAATTAAGATGGGGGTAATTAATGTTTTCTTTTTTAATGCATTTGGTAATTAAAATTATGTTAACAATTAGAAATAAAACTTTATTTATCACAAAATTTTAGATTTGAAACAAAGCAACGTTGGGAGACTAAAAGTAATATGTAAAATAATTATTATATTGATATAGACAGAAGGTAAACAAATAATATCTAATTAAAATGATAAATTCTCATTTTATGCAAAGTAAATAAAATATGAAGTATATATATATATATGTACATCTTAGTAAAATAACTTTATGGTCATGTGACAAAGTCACGCGAAGAAGTTGTGTATATTATCTCTTCTCAAATAATGACATCTGGCATCTGATATTATTTTTTTTATCAAGTATTGCAATCATTTTAACTTTCATTTTGCTAAAGTAATAAAGGCTAATCCGACCCAAATTCCCAAGATATGATGTAACGACGGGAGTGGGACATTGAATTGATTGCATTTGGGATTTATTTCATTTTTGAATTTCCTATTAAAGCTTCATCTAAATGGTCAATGGATCTCTGGATAATAATACCATCATTGTCTATGGCAATGATGGTTTCTCATCACGTTTAAATATCATGCAGCAAGGCTTAAAAAAGCACTATATCAAAAATGTCGTAGCTGCCTAACATTTACTGATGGAGGCTTAAACTAGTCGAGCATGTTGTTTTATTGTCTTGTTTGATCTGTTGTTTTTTAGGTATGTTTCTTATGCGAAGGCGTCTTTGAAAAACTACAACGAGTCTATGCCTTAAAAGTATGTAAAATTACCTTGTGGGATAGCAAGCAAGTAGCATACATGACAGCTTTTATATGTACAACAACGGGAATACTCTTACCACACCTAACTCTGTTACACGAATCCCAACCCAGAACCCCCATGATTGGTAGAAAATGAGGAAATCTTATCTTAAACCTTGTCGTGTAACCGAGGTAGGTTTTCCAACGGTAACGTCATTTCGTTCATGCATTCCCGGATTTATGCGGCAACAAACATCAACAAATTATGCGCCATTTATATTAAAACAAATAATTTTAAATCAATAAAATCTTAAGTATTTCTAATGAATATTATGTCATTTATCACTTAAAATATTTTTTGTAATGTGAAAAGCTCCACCTCAGACACTGGAAGCCATATATACTCTAAAACAATCCTAGAAAAATATTGGTAAAATTTGTTCAATATTTATTTGAAGCTAAATTTTCTTCCAAAAACAACAAATATTCCATTCGTTGATCAATTCATCTTCTGGATTATAAATTCCTTGATATATGAATATTTTTTGAGATGAAGAGGCTCTGATAAATTTTGGATTAAAGCATTGAATTTGTTTAAAAAGTGGTAATTCTGAATGCCTATTAACATGTTTACATAATTTGTTATAGGCAAGTTGAAAGGCTTGAGAAAATGTTGGTATTTAAGGTTCTTATACATTTTGAATTCTACATAAATCAATCATACTTTGATTTAAAGGAAGATTTTCAATGTCAGCTCTTAATAAATTTTGTATAAATTTTTTTTGCCTCTAACGATTTTTTTTTATGAGAATTACTTTCTAAATGGTTATCAATTGTTAACTTTCATTTATGGTCTATTACATGTTTGCAAGTAATACAAAATAATTTTGTCCCATCAGCATAAAATCTGGAAAGCAGCAGTTATTAATATTTTTACATTAAAAATCAAGATTATGCAAAAATCAAGCAAATGCATAAACCCAAAAATTATCTTAGTATTAGGTAAACTCGATAAGTCAGTCTCGGATTTGGCCTAACTCAGCCAAAATTTTACAGGCCTTTTTTCAATATTTAAAATCTCTTGATAATTCGGTTAATCTAGGATACTCTCAATAAGTCGGTATCACGTGATATCTGCATTGAGCGAGAGGTCATCATTTTAGTAACACGTAGTTATCTAGTCGGTTGTATCATTCATTTATTATCTCAGAAAAAACGTGTGAACAATATATTGGAAACAAGAGAAATGCTTAATGATGATGAAGTTATATCGGCAGTCAAAGAGGCCCTGAGAACGAAGAAAAGGAAGATGACACGTCTTTAATATCTAACAAAATCGCTTTCAAAGTTTGCACTTGCAACAAAACGATGACATAAAAAGTAGACAGTTCATTTGTTTAAGAGATTTAAAGTGGAAGATCAGTAGAAAACACGCAGCTCCTTCAATACAAGCTAGCATGGATATTTATTAGAATAAATTTTCTTTTTTGTGTCTCTTTCTTTCACAATATAATTTTAATGTATTCTAAAATTTAAAGTCACGTGCTCTTGACGCCTATTCATGACCGACTTTTCGATTATCATCAAAAAAAAATTTCGATTTCCAAATTACAAAATAAAATTAGAGCAAAAAAAATTTTTTTTACGAAAACATGCACTTAATGTATTATCTTGATGAAAACAATAATCGAATTTATACTCTTAAGGTATTTATTTATATAATTTGATTATTTTTTCATTAATTTTTTTTCGTTTTAATTCTTAAATACAAATAACTTTTTTATTACAATAAAGAAATTTTCACCTTGTGGCAAAGTGACAAAATCTGCTCATCCGGCTAGATTTTCACCTGATGATAAATTTTCTCAATACAGAGTTACTTTAAAGAAAAGGTTTAAAATATTATTAACACAAATTCCTAGTAAACCTTTATAATATTTATAATAAAATGTATAGTGAAAAATAGTAATAATTATCAAAATTTCTTCTATCTTTTTATTATTTGATTGAACATTGTTTCATTGTCACAATTATAAATATATGAATAAATTATATGAATGAATAAATCATAATAATTTTACAAAAAAAAATTTTTATAAAAATACATTTTAATTTTTCACTTTTATCTCAAGGAAAAATTAAAAACATAAGCGTATTGTTCGTATTATACAATGTACTGTACACTAATTAAAAGCGAAAACAACAATATACTTCCTCCAAAGCCGAACATATATTATTACATGAATGGCTCAAACAGTTTCCATCCTTTCCAATCACTTCAACCTTTTTGCCAAAATACATCTTTGCCAATCCTTCAACAAAAACTCCGTCGTCATGTGGATCTAATCCAAGTTGAATAATGTGGTTTGGATACAAATAGATTGTTTCCTCATTTCCGTTTTGGTCAAATGATGTAATCAACGTACGCAAAGTATTAAAAATATTTGTGGTTAAGGCTTGAAAAAATCTGTATAAAAAAAAATTATTTAACATTATTGATTGTTGTGACAATTCGATGTTGTGATGTAATAATAATAAACTCTTTCTTCACCTTATTAATTCAACTTCAATGTTTGGTGTATCCTTTAACACATCAAGATTAGGTGAACTGTTCGTCGTTGCTGTGTTAGATAAATCTTCCTGACTGTTTAACAGGATTCCTCCTTCGTCTATGAAATAATTTTCATTGATTCTTTTATAACCTTCCCTGCCATACCACCAAAACCAACCACCAAACATTATTTTACACCAAGTATCTGTCATTGCTCCGCCATCCTCTTCAACTTCAAGATTATTTTCACCGTATGATGCTAACATCTTTAACAATACTCTGTAACGCCTAATATCAGCAGAATTTATTTTAGTTGATAAAAAAGATTCAGGTGATGCAATTAAATTTGGGTGAGATTTTGAATTACTACAACTTGGAAAATTAATTAATAAATCATAAAGATTGCTTTTATCTTGAAGTATTTGATCAGTTGTGCCTATAGCGAATTTAAAAATTGTTGATTAATGATTGTGTCAACTTTATAGTTAAAAAAACAAAAGAAGTTTAAGCAAGCTAACTTACATGCGACATAACCACTTTCAATAACCTCAATCATCGGAATATCACTTACACCTACACAAAACAATGGCTTGATTTTTTCAACTTTATTCTTAAATGTCCATGTAATTGCAGAGGGAATATTTGCAAGTAAACATGTTCCGTAGACTATTATTAAGATTATTAATTAAATAATAAGAAATATACATATGTTTGCATGTATATGTATATAGTCCAATTAATAATGCAACAAATTAAAAAAAACAATACCGGAATAACAAGCGTTCCCTATTGGGGGGGTCGAATAGAACAGGATCCGTTTTTTAAGTAAAGCAGCTTTCCATAATAAAAAGATATTAGGTCCTAGAGCACGAACAAAGTCCTGGAAATGATTTGCGGGGTGTAACGGCTTATTATGGGAAATTTGTTTTTTAATGATTTAGTGCGTGTATAGTGTATATATGTAATTCCATTATTTTAATCATTTAATAATAAATAATAATGATGATGATGAACTTACTGATAATGACGCTTGATAACTTGTTGTACTCATTTGTGAAGCTGAAAAGCATCTATTCCTTATAAATGATGTTCGACCACTTGATGTTGTTAAGGCACGTCTTCTTGAATGTTGCAAACTATTCTCAGAATCTATAGATAATGGGTCATCGTTTGAATAATTCAATTGCATGCCACGTTTTTCAAAAAACTGTATAAGGTTTGAATAATCATCTGTTTGATGAACATGCCGTCTATTATTAAAATATTATATATATAATTAATAACTATGAAAAGAAAATTTTTTTATTGTTTACTATAAAACAAGTACCCGATCTCATTTTGTAAAAACTCTAATTGTGACCATGGTCGACCACAAAGGCCAGTTTCATGTGTTGGAGTTACTAATATTCCCACAGCAGCCATGCGAGCACCACGGTCATGAGATTGATCAGATGTTGGTTCATTTTTAAATACACTTAATCCATATAACGGTGGCCTAGTAAAATATCTTAAAAAAAGCAATTTAGATCAGAAATGTATATACAATACACACACATATGTACACTCATAAAAATTTTATTTAATTACATTATATCTTGTGAAACAGCATGTAATCCGCTAGGTATTGCTTGAAATTCTATGCCATTCAAATCAACATCTATTTCATTCGATTTAATTAATTAATATAATTACAGAGAAAAAGAAAGTTAAAACTTCCGTATTTTCATTATTCATAGCTTATAAATAAATACCTTGAGGATATTGCCATTCAATGATATTTCCTTTTCTTGTATCAAACCGAACCACAAATACAGCAACGACATTTGAATAACCTTCATCGTAAAAACTTGGGACTGTAGACTTATTTAAATTTTTTGAAGTCGAAGCATTTTCTTCAGTTATATTTGTAATGGATTGTTTTATCTCTTGTTCTTGAGAATCGCTGTCAAATTGATGATAGTTGATTGAGAATTTTCACATTAAAAAATTTCATTTTAAACATTATTTATTTACATACGAGACTATATCAATTAATAATGGTTCTGGCTGTTTATTTTGTCTATATATAAAATCAGAAAAAACGGCGCAAACTCAATTTAAATCAAGTTGAATATATATATATATAAATGCGAAAATTTACATTCGTGAGATTGATTGTTTGGCATTATTATTTTCCAGTATTATTGGTTCGAATTTTAATGTTGAGGCTTTGATAGATGGAGAAACATTTGACATTTTTTCAAAAAAAAAAAATTGAAACTTGTAGCACACAAATCATTGACTAAACATTTTATTTAATAATTAACAATTTATAATTTTTTCCTTCTAACAATCAAAGAAAATGTTCCTCAAACACCCTTGATGGGATTCAAATCATTTTGATGAATTTCAGTCAATGCAGCAAAATTTCACACTACAATGTTTTGCCTTTTGGGGTCATCGAGACCAACGTAAGTGGCAGTTGTTAACATTAGGAATAGAAATTAGACTGGCCAAAAAATTTTTACTCGATTAATCTGTCAATAAAAAAATTCAATTATTAGAATTCAAGCTATTTATTCTTCATCTTGCTTTTTAATTATATCGAATTTTAATATTAAATTTTGCTAATATATTTTATATAGTGGATTTTTGTTCGATGTTACACACAACATAGTAGTGACTGGTCATATGACTTATGATATTGTATATTTTTTTGGCCAATCAAAAAAAAGAATTAATTCAAAATCTAACTTTTTTTTCAAAAAAAACCAAATTTTTATAATAAAAAAGTATTCAATCAACAAGAAGAAAATGAATCAAATAAAACACATCGCAGGACAGCTGTTATTAATTGTATTAAATTTATGATAAATAAGTAGAAACTCCTTTTCCCTCTTGAAATAATTGACTAATTTTTCATTAAGGGAAAAATCAGATTCAACCAATTTTTTTGTCAAATAATTTTTTGAAATCCTTCCATAAATTTTCTATTTCTTGTGAATATTTTTTATCATTAAGTTTGATTTATTTTGACATTTGCTTTTTCTCAATTCTATTTTATTGGTTATTTCATCTATTTTTTGACCAAAAGTATAAAATTGATTTTTACAGGCTTTATAGTGAAGTAAGAAACCAAGCACAAGTCCAATTAAAAATCCACAAAAAAGTTCACTATTGAAAGTGTTGAAAATATTGAAAATATTTATTAAAATTATGTTTAATGGTGATTATTAGAAGGATTTGTTATTTGAATTTCTTTGCCTGAATTGGTGATGTTTTTATATGGGGCATGCTGCAACAAAACCAGACAAAGTGAACATTGGTATTACCAAATATTTCAGGGTTCAAAATTTAGTAATGTGATTATTAAAATCTTCCATTTGTTATCTTCTTAATATTAAGTGGTATATAGAATTACCTCTATATAAAAATAGTTAATATGAAACTCATTTACATCAGATCTACTATGGAACCTAAGAATTATAGCACCATTAGAAGTATCTTGAAAAAAGAACAAGGTGAAAAGATTGCTCCTTACATTTTCAAAATAAATGATATTCAGACACTGGAAGCTTATCTAAGAAAAGAAAGGATTACTTATGAAATTTACCAAGAAGAAAGAAAAATCATAAACATTAAGAAAAGAAAGCAGAATGAAGATATACTATTATCCAACAAAAAGCAGAAACCCTTAGAAGGAAAATAATCTTATTATTGCAATATTGATTTATTTATTTTATTTTTTTTGCAATTTCAATTGGTACTAATATAGGTGGAAAATGTGAGCAAGAACTTGTAATCAGGCAGCACCAATTGGATGATTTCTATTCATTTTTTTAGAAATCACTGATGTTATAAACATACCAGACCAAGAAATCTATCACTGAGATGATTTGCCATAACATTTGCAGGATGACAATTATTCCATCTATTTGTTAATAAACAGTTAAATAATTTAATCACATATATGGACATTCTTTGAGCAATTTGATTTCAATTAATACTAGCACACACATTGTATTCATTATAAAATGTGGCAAACAGGATACTTATTAGCATTCAACTAGGATTCCATGTGAAAAATGACTTTAAAAATAAAATTATATTCATCAATTTAAAACCTTTTCAGCCATTTATTTCAATCATAATTTGCTTCCCCACTAAAATAGTTTCTTAAACTTTATCTAAGCTAAAATTACACTTAAAAAGTTCTCATTATGAAAATCCATATAATATAGATCCAATATAGTTTTTTCACACACAAATACACTTTTAATTATTCTACAATAATATTTAATGATCATGTGTTTTACATAATAATCAAATAAAAAAATTTTCAGATATTCTATTAAATCTAATGATATTTAATAATTTTTCTGCAGAATCTTAACAGGATTCAATGAAAAAAATCATAAAAAAAATGGTCCTAGGAATTGTATGTTCTAAACAGGCTTCCAGAAAATGGTGGTGTTGACTTAGATTGTGTTTGATGTGGTGGTGTGGATTGACTAAGATTTATGATGGATTCCACTTCAAGTAAAAGACGAAAGTTGTAGGATATTATATTATTGAAGCTTAGTAAAGTTTCACATAGTTTCACTATCTTGTCATATTTGACATGAAATTGGTCAGAAAATAAAGGAATGGTTAAAGTCTTGACAGCACTCATTCTATAAAATGGATAAAAATGTCTATCAAGAATGTAAAAATCAACAGATGTTTCATGAAAATGAACCATTATCCTCTTAAGCTGGTCCAGGTAAGAACAGAGCTGCTTATAATTTTCATGTTTCTTAAAAAAGAAATGACTATGGTTAAAGGAATCCTTGAAAATTTTTTCAAGTCTTTTTAAGTCACCTAAAACATGATCATTGCGGTCCAAATTTTTTGGAAAAGGACCATTACTTATTTCACAGAATAGAAAATCAAAATGGTGCTCATTTGTGAAATTGAAAAATGAAAAGAAATCAGGAAACTTTGTTGGCCCACCAACATTGTTTCTAAAGTCTGTTGACTGACAAGTACACCCATCCCTAAAATGAATTTGTGATAATTGATGCAAACAGAAAGAGATTTATAAATTCTTTTAAAAAAATTTTTTTTGGATGAAATTCATACCATCTCTCTTCAATATTTTTCACATCATACAGCATAAAATCCATCAAAGCATTTGCCACATTATGAGAGTAAGTTCTCTCATTGACTTTGTGATCTTTGTTTTGATATGACTTTTTATACCAAATTTTTTTACTTATAAAATGATGTGATGTAATTAATTAGTATAAAGTTAATAAATAATTTTTATGGAAAAGATTCTTCCTTTGAAAGCTTTGCTTGGTTAAAAATAACCCAGTTAATCCAGCAGATTTCAAGATCTAAATAAGAGGTAAAAATTTCCAAAAAGTGTACATATTTTTTACCAAATTAATTCAATTACACTTATTCTTTTTCATTTATTTCTTTAGACATAAAGGTAATTGTGCAGAGCAACACATACATACATATTATTTATTACATATTGGATAATAATAAGTACACTAATAAAAAATGCTATTTATACAAGACATAAAAGGTAGTCATAAATGTATACATATATATTATTTTTTTTTATTACATATCGGAAAGTACATACTAATAAAAAATGTTATTTATACATGGATGCTGTACAATTGACTTGAGACATAAAAGATAGTCATAAATGTGTAAATGTATTATTTTTTTTATTTTTAAATATTAGATAAATACACTAATAAAAAACATTATTTATGATTGATAGATGTTAGCCTTGTTTCTATTGTCCACGCCTCAAATTAGATAAATAAAAATTTACTTCCAATATATACTTGATAAAACTTGCACACTTTTTTATAATTGGTTAAATGTTGAGTTAGCAAGATACATGCAAGAATTTATTTAGTTGAAGCTTCATAAAAAATAAAATTCTTTTAAAATTTTGTGTAATTTATTTGGGCCAATCAAATTTGATTTTTTGCGTGATAAAATCAAATATGATCAACGAAAATCATTACCAATTATAAGGATGTCCATTATAAAATAGAAAATCCGACTCGTGTAACAAATCAGTTTTTTAAAATATATCATTATTTTTATAACAAATACAAACATTATTATTAAATCAAAAATAAAACTATGGAATTATAGCTTTCTAATGAGCCCTCTCCCATATTGATAGAGGCTCTCTATGTCAAGCTATGTTTATTCAAAAATAACTTCAATTCGCACATACATAAATATCTAGGTAATCAACTTACACTTGGAAATGTATTACACCAAATTCTTCCAGACTTTTTTCCATCATCTTCACCACCACCTATATCAAATGAGAGTTCTTTTGCTGCACCTATTATTCATGGTATAATCCCACAATTAGATATCCCAATAGTATGAACTTCTCAATCTTTGCTATCCTAATAATTTCTTACATATTGTGGTTTTATTAGGATTGTAGAATTATATACATCAGATGATTATATATTGTAATTATTTAATATTAATAATATTATTCGGGATGATAAAAAATATTTTCAATTTTCCTTTTTTTATTATCTTCATCTACTTGTATTCGTTTCAATTTAACTTATTCAACAATTTTTGATGCAATAAATTCATCTTCAATTTTAATATATAAATTATAATTTTTACAATTTTTACAACTGTTATACTAGTAGTGATAACAATGCTCATATAATCTATTAAGATTGTTTTTTGATTTTGAATATTTTGAAATGTATCTTTTATATATAGGAAAAACTATTTTATTATGTATTTATATAAAATATTAATGTTTATATGTTTATATTAGTATTTTATACTCGATATTTCTAATGATGATAATATCTTTTAAATTAGTGATGTTAGCCGTTTAAAAATCCTTAGCCGGCTAAGCCTTTTACTACCTAAATTGGTAATCTGATTTCTATAACAAGAAAGTAACGCAGAAATCTATTACCAAATTTAGAAATTATGCATGCAGATTATTAGCCGGCTAACATCACTATTTTAAATGAAATGCCATTATGATCTTGATGGTAGTAATAGCGATAACAAGATCCTATAAATTATAATAATATTTAAAGATTAATGATGCTAATAATATTAAACAGAAATAAAACAATAATGATAATTGTATCACATACTCACTATGGATAAAAGTGGTTTTTACCACGAAGTCTATTAGCCAACTCCATATCCTTTTTCATTAATGTAACTCTTTTAGCATGCAATGTGCATAAATTCCTAGAGAAAATAAATAACAAAAAAAGTTTATTGCATTCTTTTAGAAAATGGCATACATACGCATCTCAAAGACATAGACCATATATGCTTCAGTAGCTATAAAAAATCAATAAAACAATTACATTCATACACATATATTGAGGTTAATGAGTTCAATTGACAATATAACTAAATATTTTATATATATGCCATATGCCTATTTATATAAAATTACCTTCTTGAAGTGCCAATATAGCTGATGATTGCCATTTGAAGCCAACTTGGGAATCACAGGGGAAAAGCTCCATTGCAATTTCTCGAACCTATACAAAATGTATGTATGAATATAGTGATGGGAATTTTTAACCCTACACTTAATAACTCCAAGTTATTAATAGTTAATAACCACTTATTAACTGTTGCA